GGCGTCAGCTTCTAGGAATGAAGCAAGCGCTCACAGGGATGCCGGAAGTATGGCACTGAGATGCAGCATCTCGTTCCCTTGGGGAACCATGGTTAAATGCGTATCCTGGAGACGTTCCCCTTCAGGAACTCGAGCTGCATCGAACGCTATGGGAACGAGTATGCCCACGCCGCCATACTTACAAATCCCTGCCCAGTTGTGGAAGCTAGGGTGAGAGAACAGAAGAGCCCGGAGTGGCTCGCATATCTAGGCCATAGAACCTGACGAACGTGAGGGGCATGGACCAACCCGCAGCGTTGCATATGTCCTGCATAGACACACCTGCTAGAAAGGACTTTGAGGCCGCCACACTCCTAGTTGAGTGAGCCTTGACCCCCAGAGGCGAGGGGAGATCAGAGGACTCGTAAGAAATGGAAATGGCATTCACTATCCACCGACTGAGGGTCTGTTTTGTAGCAGGAAGACCTCTGACTTTGAGGCCGCCACACTCCTAGTTGAGTGAGCCTTGACCCCCAGAGGCGAGGTTGAGTTCAGAGGACTCATAAGCCATGCAGATGGCCTCCACATTCCACCGACTGAGGGTCTGTTTACTAGCAGGAAGACCTCTCTTAGGGGGACCATAGCACACCAGCAGTTGGTCCGCCCTTCTCCACAGGGCAGCTCTGTAGACGTATGCATCTAGTGCTCGCATTGGACACATACAATTAAGCTTCTGCTGGTCGGGCTCCCAGAAGGGAGGAGGACAGAAGGCCTGGAGTACGACAGGCCGTGGTGCAGAGGAGAGGACTTTAGGAACATAACCCGCTCGAGGGTAGGGAAAAGCTTTGGCCAGACCAGGCGCAAAGTCGAGATAGGAAGGGGCCACTGAGAGGGCCTGCCTGACAAAGTAGGCGGGGACATCCCGCCCAAAGGCCAACTTCAGAAGGAGTGAGTCTTGACCCCCAAAAGAGAGGGGAGATCAGAGGACTTGAGGATTTGGAATAGCATCCTGATCCACTGCTTAGCATAAGCTTCTCTGGCCGGAGGCCTCAGCCTCAGCGCACCGAGGAGGAAACATGTAACCAGGGGGTGTCTGCCCACTGACTGGCCACCAATAGGGGCGTGGTAGGGCGCAATGGCTGCCACGTAGACCTTTAGGGTGGAGTGGGTCAACCCTGCGGAAAATCAGGCCTGCAGGATCTCCTGAACTGTACCAACCGGGCAGTTAGCTGGGCCGAGCTGGCAGTCTCCGCACCAAGAAGTGAAAAGTTTCCACTTCGGGAGATCAGAGGCTATGAAATAGCATCCTGATCCACCGCTTAGCATAAGCTTCTCTGGCCAAAGGCCTCAGCGCACCATGGAGGAAAAGTGTCACCAGGGGGTGTCTGCCCACTGACTGGCCACCAATAGGGGCGCGGTAGGCTGCAATGGCCGCCACGTAGACCTTTAGGGTGGAGTGGGTCAACCCTGCGGAGAGAAGGGCCTGCAGGATCTCCAGAACTGTACCAACTGGACAGTTGACTGGGTCGAGCTGGCAGTCTCCGCACAAAGAAGTGAAAAGTTTCCACTTCAGGGCATACCGTTTCCTCATTGAGGGAGCTCTGGATTGGAGGATGGTCTCAACCTCGGTTGAGAGACCGGAAGCTACGAGTTGTGCCCCCTCAGGGGCCACACCCATAACTTCCACAGCTCCCGGTGCGGGTGGAATATCGTGCCCCCCGCCTGTGAGAGGAGATCCCTCCTGACGGAAATCTAACTTCCACAGCACCGGGCAGGGGTGGACGATCGTACGCTCCGCCTGAGAGAGGAGATCTCTCCTGATGGGAATCTCCCATGGAGAGCAGTCGAGGAGAGAAATCAGGTCCGAGAACCATACTCGGCCCGGCCAGAATGGGGCTACTAGCAGTAGACGGACCCCGTCTCGGCGTATTCTCTCCAGAGCTCCTGGGAGCAGAGCGATCAGGGGAAAGGCGTACAGACGAAACCTCGGCCACCTCTGTACCATAGCATCCAGCCCCAGTGGAGCTGGATGAGTCAGAGAGAACCAGAGGGGACAGTGCGATGTCGTATGAGTCGCAAACAGGTCCACCTGAGCCTGGCCAAAAATTCTCCATATCTGCTTCACCACCTCTGGGTGAAGCCTCCACTCCCCGGGCCTTGGCATTGAGCATGCGAAGCGGGTTTCACCTCGGGGAGAACCCCTTGGTCTTGAGCCACCACTGTAGCGGTCTCATGTACTGCAGGCCAAAATGTATCACGTTGGCCGCAGCTGCCTTTAGACCCAGCAGTCTCTGAAACTTTTTGACAGTGAGTGACTGGCCTTCTCTCACTCTCTTGACTGCCGTGAGGATCGAGCAGGGGACAGACGTGCCTGCATTGTGGTCGAATCCCTCACCACGCCCAGATAAGTGGTCCTCTGTGCTGGAGAAAGCACACTTTTCTTGGCGTTTAGTCTTCTTTCATGTGTGCAAGAACGACATCTCGATGTCGAACCGCCACCAATCGTCTATATAATTGAGTATGCGGATGCCCTGGAGTCGCAGGGGAGCCAGAGCTGCATCCACACACTTCATGAAAGTGCGGGGTGAGAGTGCAAGGCCGAAAGGAAGAACCCATTATTGGTAAGCTTTGCCCCCGAAAGCAAACCTCAGGAACTTCCTGTGCCTGGGAAGGATGGAGACGTGGAAGTATGCGTCTTTTAGATCGATTGTGACAAACCAGTCCTCTGACCTGATCTGAGACACGACTTGTTTGAGTGTGAGCATCCTGATCTTCAGTCGCATGACTGAGCAGTTTAACTGATGCAGATCTAAAATCGGACGCAACTCTCCATCCTTCTTTGGGACTATAAAGTACCAGCTGTAGAACCCAGACTCTCTTTCGTGAGGAGGGACCACCTCGATGGCCTCCTTCCTCAAGAGAGTATCTACTTCTTGTTCCATTACCAGAGCCTGCTCAGGACCCACCAGGGTGGGAAGGATCCCGTTGAAAGGAGGCGGAAGAGAACCAAACTGGTTTCTTTAGCCATTCTCAAAAGTGTGCAGGACCCACTGAGACACATTTGCCAGTAGTTTCCACACTGCAAAATAGTCTACTAAGGGAATCAGTCTCTCGAGACTGACCTCTGGTGTAATCAGAGCAGCTAGCTCGGTGCCCTGAAGCGGCTCACCGGCAGGGGATGGCCGAACTAGCTGCTTTAGAGACCTCCGTAGAGGTAGCGAGCCTCTTAGTACCACTACGTTTCCGGGCGGTAGCTGAGAGAAGAGCACGCAGGAGACCGCTGCACCCTGTAACATCGGCAGGGTTGGCAGAACGATCTCCTGAGGGCACTGAGGAGAGACGGGCACCGTGTAATGCGGTGAACCCCGCTCTACCCCAGAGGGGCCTGCCCTCAGAAGTCCTGAGGCACTGGCGTCAGGACTTCTTCGTCGAGGACTTCTTAGCCTCCAGAATAGTTCTTAGATATGGCTTAGCCTTTGAAGCCCCCAACCCAGAGCGCCGTGTAGACCCCTGGTCCTGACGTGGGGGAGTGTGAGAAGTGATGCTCTGTTTTTGGGCCTCCCTGTACGAAGAGCTGGTACGCGGAGGGGGCTGCTCACTGCTGAAATGCCACCGCTTGTTTACGAGCCTCCTGGTACCTGTCAACAACGGAGTTGACGGCGTCGCCGAACAGGCCAGAAGGCGCAAGCGGGGCATCGAGGAGGAAGACCCTGTCCTTCTCCCTCATATCGGACAGGGTCAACCACAGATGCCTCTCCGCTGCCACCAAGCTGCCATGGACCGACCAATAGCGTGGGCGGTCTCCTTGGTGGCGCGGAGAGAGAGGTCAGTGGTTCTCCTAAAATCTGTAATATTCTCAGAATTAACCCGTTTAATCCCACCATT